CTAATGGAAAGCCGAATTTATGAAGCTATATTTTGAACTTCTTGTTTAGTAGATTCTATTGGAGTGTAATTTACATAGATGGAATCATTCATTTGATTGATTAAAGATTAAATACCACAATTGTGCTCTTAATCAAGATATTAAATAGAGGTTTTCTCTCTATGATGATCTGGACAGTCTTTAAATTAATATCTAATTGAATAAAAATAGCACCAATCTGGATAGTGTCTCATTTTCTTTTTGTTCTCTTCATAAAGAAAGAAGTGTGTTTTTAAATTCCTTCAAATTATATTAGATTCAGCTCCTCTTTTTAAATTTATTTTCCAATTTATATAAGAAAAGAATGCTAAACCATTTATATTGTTTTAGACTAATTGACTATTCTTATTACAAGAAAATTTTCTTTTAGTATTCATTAAAGTAAGTGTCAAACAAAAAGGGTGCCAATAAGGATCCGTATTAAATTAAGCCTAGCCTTCTGTGAATCCAGTCTAACATGGATGGATGCGTTTAAGGCAAATTGCTTTAAACCTATCCACAAATTTACTTTCTATCAGCTTTATGAGGTGGGACATACCCATTATGGGTCTATTTCTGATTTTTTAGGAATGATTGGAGACACTTTATTAAGAGGAATGAGACGCATGCATAATGAATAAGATATTCTATCAAGCAATTGCTAATTTATCACCATATTTTAATTATGTTAAGATCAAAGAGACTTAACTTATATTTAGGAAGTGCAATAATCAGATGATATAGCCCCATTATTTTTAACGTATTTATCCATTATCATATCATTAAATGAAATTTAATAATCTTCCTTGTAATTATGGGATTGATCATCTCTTTATTAAATTTAATTAATTTATCATAACAAAAGTGGAAAATTTATTTATAGCATGAAGTTACAAGTCCCTTATCAGTGTACATACAATTTAAAATTTCTGCTTTCTTCTTGCCAGGTTTTAAATTCCTGCTATGAGTCAGGATACTAAAGAATAACTTATTTTTATTAAATTTAATTATAAAAATTTCAAATTGTAATTAATTGATGATTCTTTTTTCATATTTTTTTTAAGAAGTATTTAGATTTTTTTAAGAATATTTACTTGATCAGAGTTAAAAAAATTTCTGATAAATAAGATGGGAATAATTGCTATAGAAAGAAAACTAATTAATAAATTATAGTTTATTATAAATTTCTTCATAAATAAAACATCAAATGCTTCTTTTTAATGAAATTGTAATTTATAAAATTACTCAGTCATTTGCTGATATTTAAGTATCATTAGTTTCTATATATAACAAAATAAATAAGAGTTTACCTTATGGCTAAGGGACAAAAATGCTTCAAATTTATAAACTTTGTGGCATATGTTTTGAAGTTCTTTGTTTCATAATATTTGAGTAATTTTTATTGTTTAGTGGTAAGGTTCATTATTCGAAAATTTTGGGAATATTTCATTCAAATGAGAGATGCAAATTTCATCAAAAATAAAAGCATTTTAATTTATATTCACATCCAAATATTTCATTTTATTAATCAAATAATAATGATGGGCCAGAGCAACATGAAAGTTTCTCAAAATTTATTTATGATCATTTGTAAAAGATATTATGATGTAAATTATATTAGTTAATTAATCATGCAAGACCTTTTTTTTGAAAATTTATAACAAATACCTGTAGTATTTTATAAAATAACGTCTAAATGAAATAACAAAATTAATTTTTGCTGCTATTTTGGCTCCTGCAATATTAGTTATTCTTTAAAACTCTTATGATGATATTAATTCTCATTAGTTTAAGTGCAAATATGCAATTGTGCAACATTAAAATCTCAAAAAGACTGTGAATAGATAGTCACTATAACTGAAGCATGTGAATGTATGGCTGCTTAAGGTACAACAGCAGCAAAATATTAGAAAAAGACAACAGTTGATTCAGTTGCACTCAACCCTTATTATGAGCTTGTTGATAAACCAGAGCAAACTCAAAAACCTTGGGATATGCTTTTGTTGACTCAAAATGCGCACATTTTGCAATGTTCAATTTATGTTTAATATACAATAGTAAATTGTTAAGCTATCTCAAATTTTTGTGTAAGTTATGCATTGCATACATTAAAGCTAAAGAATGTAAAGATTAAACTCAATTATAATTCGAATCCACTCCAAGTATCTCTTGAATTCTTAAATGCAAATGAGATACAAATTCTGGAGCATATAGAGATTATTCTTGTTCAAAAGCTGATTCTAGCTTAAAAATTGATTCAAAATTTTCTGATTGGTTGGCTGGATGTGTGATAAAAGGTTAGGGTTGTGTAAATACTTCTAGACCTGTTTGCGCTAAATATTCTGGAGATGATTATATGTTCAGATGGTAATTGTGAATTAGCTGAAAGTACAAAATTGTAAGGCTAAAGAATGCACAAATGCTTCAACATCGCTGTCTACTGATGTTAATTGTAAAGCTTATTAGTCACGATGCATAACAATAGGAAAAGGTTGTTTTTAAGTTGTCCATTTAATACTGATGTACTTTGCAAACAGTATTAAGCAAGTTGTTAAACAAATGGTAGGTTTGAGTATCAGCCTTAACATCTTGTAGCGCATACAAAGGAGCTTCAACCTTGTGTTCTGTATATATTGGTACTTATGAATATTGTAAGGATAGTAGTAAAACAACTACAGAAGCTTCTAGTTTACCAAAAGTTTCTGATGAAATCCTTGATATAATAATAAAGTTGTGAAAGAAAAAACAGTTGTTCATGGTAACCAATTTACACTAGCAACAAATCTTGCTCTGAATTTAAGAAAAAAGCTATTTGTTTAGCAAACTTAGCTAGAGTCTAAAAATTAGATAAATATGATAACTAAAAATTTTGTTGGTTGAAACAAGTGAATTATCATAATATATAAGTAAGAGTTAAAGTATGCATAGCTAGATATGAATGGAGTAAACTTTTTGGAACTCAGTCAACATGCTAAAGCTATCCAGCTTATTGAATAAAGGATTGATAACAAATGAAGAAGGTTGTGTCGAGTATAATATACCATGTATATCAAAAAAAAAACTTAATCAACATGTGATAATTTATATGCATTGTAATAAAAAATCATAAATTAATGAATAATACTTCATCAATAAAAATAAAAGTATTATTTGGGTCAGAAAAGTAAAATTTAGGATTGTTTAAACTATCATGGACATACTGTTGTCCTAGTTTTAAGAAAGCCACACTAATTCTGAAATAAAATGATATTCTTATTTCTATTAATGTTTTTTTTAGTTGGTAACTATAAAATTGATTAAATTGTTTGAAACGGATAACTTATCTTAAGAATAATATAATTGTAGAGTAAATGATTAAGAGGAGAAAAGTTAATCGTTTTTATAACGAAATTTAAATAAAAAAATATCTTAATTGAATTATAAAATTCCAAAAAATATATTGTATATTTTAAATGAATTGTAAATATATTAATTTTAATGCAAATTAATGATCTTTATGGCAGAAATTTATACATACACTATAATTTTAGAAAGGAAGAGCAAGATTTAATAAAGTTATTATTCAAAGATGTTTAAAATCTTAAGACTCATATCAATATTATAGTATGCTTAAACCATAATAAAATATAATCAATGAGATCTTTCAGACAACTAATCATCTACTGTAGAAATTGTGTTCTGAACTATCCAATTTAGAGAATCTATCAAATCAGTGTAAGCTTGAGTTGCAAAATTGAGGATAAAAAAGATGCAATAAGCACTTGAATAAGAAGCATTCTAAAACAATTGCTTATCTAAGGGGTATTTTTGCATGATTCGGGTAAACCGCAATACTGCAAGTGGAGAAATAAGCTAATATTCCTCACATTGTGGATACTTAAGTGACATACCTTGTACTTTTAAAATAATATTATATAGCATTTAAATTAGTTGTAAACTTTTTAAAATGATGTAGCAAGAGTATACCGAGAATGATTTTATTTGAGAATAAAAAGAAACTGTCGTATGGACCAAGTTGAAACAAGTAACATCAAACCATATGAATAAGCTAAGATATTTCTATAATTCCATATGTACTTTAGGTTTAAGTACTGATTTAAGAGTTTGCGTGACAGTCGAAAAGAATAGAAAATTTGATATACTAGATGATGTTGTCTCTAACCAGATAAGGGCTCTCAAGCTATTTAAATTTAGCCTTTTATAAAAATAACTTAGAAACAATGAAATTGAAAGGAGAAGATCCATAAGTAGAAAACATACGAATAAGTAAAGACAATATGTAGCTTGTTGGAATGGTTCAAAGTGACTAAATGATAATGAGAGTTGATAAGAAAAGAAAACAAAGTCAAACTAGAAATAGCTAGAGTAAGCCCATCTATCTAATCAAAATAAATGTCTCCCTTTTGTAACAAAAATCACATTATACTTTAAATTCATATAATAAATTTATTGCGCTATTAAACAACCTCTTCAAACCTACAATAATAATTTTTGAATAATTATTTTTTTTAATAATTAAATGTTAACAACTTATATTTATAAGTATAATTAATTGTTGTTAGAAAAAAAGTAATAGTTAGCAGAAATATAAGATATTTTATTAAGAAATTTATATATTGATATATGATGCAAAATTTCATAGTAGTGATTTATTCTATATTCTTAAAGAATCAAACAATGCAAAAATATATAATTTCACATTTACCTATATTACTTCAATTACAATGGAATGAGTATTCTCATTTAGTTTTTTCCTTATCATAACATGAATAAATAAGATATTTTCTGACATCTTATATGTCACAAAAAAAATGAAATTTAATATTATTATTATTATATAAAAAATAAAAATGGAATAGAAAGCTGATCTGTATGAGGTTTTCGCTTCATTAAAAGATATTAATGAATAAATATATGGAGAAATTATTCAGATGTTTTAATTAGAGAAGATTACTGATTGTCAAGATTTCCTTTCAAAATATGAGACTTAAAATTTGCATACAAAACAAGTTATTCAGACAAAGAACTAAAATAACGGCATAAAGCTTATAGCTAATATTATTAAAACCATTCATGAACATGATTTTAATAAAAAGGACTATTCCATTAAAGTTTATATTGAAAATAAAGCAAAATTAATTAAAAAAATACAAGAGGATAAAAAAATAATTGAATTATTG